TCATCATCAGCATCACCCTCATCAGCATCATCATCGGCATCATCAGCATCCTCATCAGTGTCATCAGCAGCATCATCATCAGCATCAGCTTCATCGGTATCATCAACCATAATCATCAGCAGCATCATCAGCAGAAGCAGCATCAGCAGCAGCAGCAGCATCAGCATCAGCATCAGCATCATCACAAACAGCATCATCATCATCATCATCATCAGCATCATCATCATCACCATCATCATCATCATCATCATCATCATTATCATTATCAACATCATCAGCATCATTATCGTCGACGTGATCATCCTCAGCATCAGCATCATCATCATCATCATCAGCAGCCATCGCTCATCAGCATCATCATCCTCAGCATCATCGTCGCCAGCCATCATCATCAGCAGCATGATCAGCATTATCATCATCAGCAGCAGCATCATCATCATCAGCAGCAGCATCATCACCATAAGCATCATGATCAGAAACATCATCAGCATCAGCACCATCGTCGTCGTCATCATCATCATCAGCATCAGCATCATCACCATCAGAAGCCATCCATCATCATCATCATCACCATCATCATCACCAGCCATCATCATTAGCAGCATCATCAGCAGTAGCAGTGTCACCAGCAGCAGCATCATCAGCATAATCACCGGCAGCCATCCATCATCATCATCACCACAATCATCATCAACAACAACAACAGCCATCATCATCAGCAGCATCACTGGCAGCAGCAAAAGCATCATCAGCATCATCACCGTCATCATCATCTTCATCATCATGAGCAGCAGCAGCATTAGCAGCAGCATTATCAGCATCATCATCATCGTCACCATTATCATCTTCATCAGCATCACCATCACCATCAGCCATCATCATAATCGTCATCAGCATCATCAGCATCATCAGCGTCGTGTCATCATCATCAGCATCAGCATCATCACCAGAAACCACCCATCATCATCATCATCAGCAGCATCATCACCAGCCATCATCACCAGCAGCATCATCAGCAGCAGTAGCAACAGCAGCAGCATCAGCAGCATCATCAGTATCGTCAGAATCGCCATCATCAGCATCGTCATCATCAGCATCATCATCAGCAGCATCATCACCATCATCATCGGCGTCGTCATCACCATCTGCATCAGCATCATCATCAGCAGCAGCCAACGTTCATCATCATCAGCGTAATCAGCATCATCATCACCGTCGTCAGCCATCATCATCAGCAGCATTATCAGCAGCATCATCAGCATCATCATCATCATCAGCATCAGCATCACGATCAGCATCATCATCGTCAGCATCATCGTCAGCATCAGCATCAGCATCATCATCACCAGAAGCCATCCATCATCATCATCATCATGATCATCACCATCATAATCAGCATCAGCATCATCATCAGCATTTATCATGAGCAGCATCATCATCAGCAGCATCAGCAGCAGCATGATAAGCACCAAAGCATCAGCAGCATCATCATCATCATCATCGTCATCAACATCATCATCACCGTCATCATCCTCATCATCATCAGTATCATTAGCATCCTCATCCTCATCGCCATCATTATCAGCATCGTCGTCGTCATCAGCATCAGCATCAGCATCAGCCATCAACAGCAGCCATCCATCATCATCATCATCATCATCATCATCATCATCAGCATCATCATCGTCGTCAGCCATGATCACCATCAGCATAGTCATCAGCCATCCGTCACCATCACCACCATCATCATCCTCATCATCATCAGCATCATCAGCATCATCGTCGTCATCATCATCATCAGCATCAGCATCAGCAGCATCAGAAACAATCCATCATCATCAGCATTATCATCATCAGCATCATCATCATTAGCAGCAGCATCAGCAGCAGCATCAGCAGCATTATCATCGTCATCATCAGCATCATCATCCTGGTTATCAGCATCATCATCAGCATTATCGTCATCATCACCATCATCATCGTCATCAAAATCAACATCAGCATCAGCAGCATCAGAAGCCATCCATCATCATCATCATCATCATCAGCATCAGCAGCATCAGCAGCATCATCACCATTATCATCATCAGCAGCATCATCAGCAGCAGCAACATCAGCATCATCATCATCATCATCATCATCAGCAGCATCATCATCAGCATCATCATCAGCATCATCAGCACCATCGTCGTTGTCATCATAATCAGCATCAGCATCAACATCATCATCAGCATCATCAGCCATCCATCATCATAAGCATCACCATCAGCCATCATCATTAGCATCACCATCAACAGCGGCAGCATCAGCAGCAGCATTCTCAGCATCAGCATTATCATCATCGTCACTATCAGCATCATCCCCATCATCATCATCATCATCATCATCATCAGCATCATCATCATCATCATCATCATCATCATCATCATCTGCAGCATCACCATCATCATCATCATCATCATCATCATCATCATCATCATCATCATCATCATCATCATCATCTTCGTCAGCACCAACACCATCATCGTCGTCATCATCACCATCAGCTTCATCATCATCAGCAGCCATTCAAAATCATCATCATCAACCTCGGCATCATCAGCATCATCATCGTCGTCAGCAGCATCATCATCAGCAACATCATCAGCAGCAGCATTAGCATCATGATCATTATCATCATCATCATCATCATCAGCAGCAGCAGAATACTAATCATCATCAGCATCATCATCAGCAGCATCATCATCGTCATCATCAGCATCAGCATCATCATCATCATCAGAAGCCACCCATCATCATCATCATCAGCAGCAGCAGAAGCAGCATCATCATCAGTCATCATCATTAGCAGCATCATCGGCAGCACCATCAGCAGCAGCATCAGCAGCAGCATCCTTGTCATCATCATCAGCATCATCATCATCAGCATCATCATCGTCGTCATCAGCAGCATGATCAGCATCAGCAGCATCATCATCATCATCATCATAATCATCATCATCATCATCATCATCATCATCATCATCATCATCATCATCATCATAATCATCCATCCATCCTTTTAAATGGTTGTCATTTTCATGCCGCGCACACTCGTCCCCAAAAAAACAACAAAAGAGCGCCAGGGACGGAGAGTGCGGGCCGCTCTCTCGAGACGGGGCTCCCGCCGTGGCGCCGCGCACAGAGTCGACTTCCCCAGCAGCCCAGCAGTGGCGCGGCTGGTGAACGTTGGAGGCCTGGAAAAGGACACCGACAGCAACAAAGAGGGGTCGATCTCCATCTCCGCCTCCGCCTCCTCATTCTCCTCATCCTCTTCCGCCCTGCTCCTCTCCTCCCTCCCCCCTCCTCTTCTCTCTGCCCCACTCTCCTCCCTCCACTCTGCTCCCCCATCCTCCCCCCAGGTCAGATGGCAGACACCCGAAACAGCAATGGCTTGCCTCAACAGGGGGAAGATGATGCCAGATTCCGGTGTAGGGGGTAATACTTCGGTCACCTTTAAAGCCAGAATAGCACCACCATCGCCGAGATCGGGATCTTCTTCCCTCAGTCGAGGCACACCGCCGATATTGGTGTTGGTGTCGACCTCTAGGCCTGCGAGGACGGCTCCTCTTCAAAATCGGGCTCTCGCACCAGACTAGAGAGCAAAAAACAAATCCACCCACATCATAAGCACCCTGACACGCCAAGCCGTTAAGCAACACACACCCAAAGCAGGAATCGAACAGGGCAGGGCTGTTTAGTAAATGCCCAGGGCCGCTAAGTAAACGCCAGATATCGGGTACGGGTGGTTTCTCCTCCCTTGACAGACTTCCTCAAACAAATTCTCAATGGATGAAGCCGTGCAACGCTTACGTGGATGGAGGGCGGCTCCTTCTCAAAGCAGAGCTGTCGCTGGGCACTCTCTTGAAATGTATGACCTCACCTTGGGCAACCCGTAGGATTCGCAAAGATCAAAGGCAGTTCCTTCTCAAAACTGAGTTCCCGCCTGAATTGCGGGCCGACGGGATCCTGTCTTTCAAGGGACCGATCGGCAGGGAGGTAAAGAAACGCTTGCAAAGGGCTTACGAGGAAGGGAGCCGTGACAGGAGGATGTTTTGTAGATTCGTTGACGCATATTGGGTTGAACATGGTCCTCGTCGTCCTCATCATTATCTTTCCGATTTGCTTCGTCTCAGTTAGCAGAAAGACACCACATGTGGCATATTGACCTTGATGTGCCGTCTGCCCTCGCGACGGTTTGCGCCGATTGGCCCCAGAGTGTGCCTGCACAAGCTGTATCACTGTACAAGTGTCGTTCCCTCCCTCCTTCCGCCTCCCTCGTCCCTCCTCCCGCCATCCTGCTCCTCCCTCCTCCTTCCATCCTCGTTGTTCCAAGAGGAGCCCCGTAGGGCGCCGCGGCTCCTGACTGGACCATCGGCCTGATCGA